ATATATGTTTATATATAATATGTATGTATGGTATATATGTACATTTAGTATATATATATATATATATATATATATATATATATATATATATATATGTATATACGCATATATATGGTTATACATGTAAACAGGGCCGCAGTCAGGAGGCCAGGGCCCCGGGGCAAAGAACAGGGATAACCTTTTTAGGTGAGAAACGCCCTTTTCAAATAGGAAACGCCCATTTTCCACTTAAACTTTTATGTTAACATTAACTGTATGTTACTCGAACTTCGATCAAGAATAGGTTACTAATGTCACATACCTTCAAAAATATCGCTGGTTTGGCAGCCGATTGAGGACATTTTTTAACCACTTCCTTGTTTTTAATCTTAACGTTAACTACTGTAACGTTATTTTAGTATACATACACCCTATGAATTTGCTGAGTTGGTTGTTCTTGGGCTCAAATAATCGACTATTGTAATTTTTTACGGGGCCCCGGGTGTCGGTGGTCCTGCATGTATATATGTGTATGTATAACTATATGTGTGTGTGGGTGGTCCTGTATGTATAAGTGTATGTGTGGGGGGGTGTTTGTGTGTGTGTGTATGTGCATGAGTGTGTATGTGACAAATAAGTGGATAGACAAATGTAGCTTTCATATAAATACATAGATATAGATATATAATTTGAATAGAAGTACAGATATTACTACAGTTATACATACCCATTTATGTATAAGCACTGATATAAAAACGTTGATATAGGTTAGTAGGCACATACATACATGCATATAGATGTTCACACAGATATATTTATTTAGATAGAGGAATCGATAGGTAGGTAAAAGACAGATATATATATATGTGGGGGGGGGGGGGAGAATCGATACAATATTTGTAAATATAATAAAAGTATTTAGTCTACGCTACGGTTGAAGGTATATTCGTTTTCTTTCTTTTTTCACAAATAGAAACTGTAATTTTAGGACTAACTATTCAATATCCGACTACACCTTCAAACTAAAAATAGTCCTAACCTTATGAATTGAGGTCAGTTTCTATAAAACAAATTGAGTTTAAGACAATGTACTGTATATCGAAAAGGAGACACTATGAAGTATGTATCATTCCCTGAAGTATAATAGTGGTGTAGTCCGATAAATGATAACAAGAATAAGAATGATGATATTAAAGATTTTACTATAAAATGAAAAGGCGGATTACGGAAAGAAATCAGAGCGTGAGAAACATTATTTGATATTAGCTCATCCATACTGTACCGGCATTATATTATCTGTTGCTTCAGGTAAATTTCATTCTGAATAATGGAAGTTTGAGATCATTTAAAAGTAATCGTGTGAGATCCAAGTGAAGTAGATTTCAATAACCGAAATTAAACCCTTGAACGACCTGAAATTCTAACAAAAAACTTGTTGTTACCGTTGTTCTCTCTCAATTGACAATCAAATCCATGCATTGTATATCAACCAACATTAATCCCACGTTTTTTTTTTTTTTTTTTTTTTTTTTTTTTTTTTTTTTTTTTTTTACATAGAAAATGAAGAGAGCGGAATTTGGTCTCTTGAAAGACGGTTGATACCAAGTCACGGCGAAAATTCCAGCGTCTTTACACCTCACTAGCAGGTGCTACGGGTGAGAAGGTCTTCCCTGGTGTTCTTCTGTTATGCCATTGTAGACTGCTATCATAGCATAAATTTGCACAGTCACGCACACTCAACCATTAATTCATTGATTCAGTCACTCATTCAGTCATTCGTTCATTCGTTCACTCAGACACTCATTTAGTCATTCCTTCACTCAAGACACTCATTTAGTCATTCATTCATTCACTCAGACACTCATTTACACATTCATTCACACATAGATGTATCCACACGCATACACACCGCACATAACATTAGACACATTGAGAATTTCTGTCTTAGATATTTCAAAATGTGAAGATATATCAAATGTTCTTAAATCAAAGTGAGTCATTACTTTCATTAGAAGGGGAAAATATGACATGTTCTTTGTAAACCGATCATGTTTATATGGAAAAATATCCATTACACTCACTTTGTAGTTATATTTTCATATGAATCATATGATTTCTCTGCAAATGTTGTGAAGGAGGGGAATATATATAAACCAATAATTATCGAATTCAACAATAAATATGAGTTGTTTTTTTCTTTCTTTCTCTCTGTGGATATTTTGATCTCATCTGAGAAAGTCTGATCAAAGCTTACTGCCGAATTTATAGTCCAAAAATGCGCTAGCTTTGAATAACCAGTCCATGACGCATCAAGATTTAACTTTCCCTCGATCATGAGTTCTCCTGAATTGTTTATTTTCAGGAAAGTCATCACCAGGTGTCATCGGTGTCAGGTAGTACGGTCGGGGAAAAGGAAATCCGGAGCTGCTAAATTGTTCGTATTACCTGTCTATTTATACTACCTTTACCTGTACGAGCAAGCTTATACATACCCGTGCATGTGCATGTTTCGGTATGGGTGTGTATGCATGTGTGTTTGTGTGTTTATATGTTTGTGTATGTGTTGTGTGTTGTTTGTTTGTGTGTGTTTATATGTTTGTGTATGTGTTGTGTGTTGTTTGTTTGTGTGTGTTTATATGTTTGTGTGTGTTTGTTGTTTGTTTATGTGTGCGTTTATGTGTTTGTGTATATGTGTACGCATTATTTGTTTGGGTGTATGTGTCTGTGTCTGTGTCTGTCTGTCAGTCTGTCTGTAAGTCACTGGCGGATGTACAGGGGTCAGCTACTACTCTAACTTCCTAATACTGTAATTATAAACCGCAAATCGCTACTATCTACGGGCTCCTCAAATCACAAACAGATTAACACAATTATGGCTGGGAGCTATGTATACATTCGTTCCCTGATATACTTTTTTTTTTCTTCTTTTGTATATCTTGTCTCCTGTGCAAACCTCCCATGAAATTTTTGTATATCCACCAGCGTGAATGTTCCTGTGTAAGGGGACCGTCTGGTCTTTTTTCGCCATTTTTCGCCCATCTTGCCGAAATCGAGTTTAATGCATTTTCAAGGAATTTCAGGGCCTCCGATTCTCCCCTGAAAATTTCAAGGCCCGACCGTTATTTTTTAGGTGGTAGCAGCCATTTTCGATGTCGACCGTTATATTATTTTTTTCACGTTACCTTAGAAAATCGACAATTGTGACGCAATAATTTGAGATAATAAAAAAATAGATTATTTTCTGAAAGCTTAATATATTTCACATAAGATAAGAGCAACCGTCATTTTTCCGGAATCATATTTAAAATCTGGCAAGCTTCCAAAAGGCGATAATGATTTTTTTCATATAAATAAATAAACATGATATGCCATTCATATGGAGTATCTTATTTTATTTATGTTTTCATCATACATATTTGATCTATGAGCAAAACACTTCGAAAATGCAACCCCCCCCCCCCCCCTCAAATTGGGGGTAGGATTGCCAAATGATCCGGATCACCACCAAAATTTTATGAAATATTAATTAGGCTAAGACAAACCTCAGGTAAAACTTTTATTAAAATCTGTTCTTAACTTTTCGAGTATTATACGTTGTAAAACCCCATTAGAACAACAATAATGGGTAAATAATAGATAATTATATCAAATACAAGTATTTCGTACATGATTTGTCATGTAAAATGTATAAATAATGAAAAGGAAAAAGATCGCGATGATTAGGTCTTTCACATTTTTACGTATAGCACACGTATTTTCAGTCCGATTTTAACGTATTATGGCTCATTTTGTAGCTGAATAATAGATCTATTTGCAATATTTTCATGTGCTTCTTATAAAAGTGACATATATTTTCAAAATCTATTAGGGAAATATTTACCAAAAAAAGAGCCAGGTCGACTTCTTTAAATTTCTTTAAAATGGTCAATGTAGGCCTATAGACCCCCAGATCACTGCCACCACTCTACACTATATGTAAGATTTTAAGAAACCGTTACGTGCTGGCAATGTCCGGAAGACTTCGGAATGAAGGTAGATGATAGAGGATTATAGTGTAGGAAGATTAATTTTATACCTTGTTTTGTTGATACCAAGATAGTCATGATAATATGAAGAAAACGAAAAATGTCGATATCTCGGTACACCACCTTTAGGGGTAGGTAAAAGGATTCCGGGCTCAACATATGTCCAAAATTAACATGTTATGGCTCATTTTGTAGAAAAATAAAGGATCTACAACTTGATCATTGTGGATTTTGCCATTTTTGCCTGTGCTTCTTGTGAAAGTGAGAAATGTAAGAAAGTGTTTACTGTTTTTGATTTTCGTGAAGTCCCCTACTTCAAAAAAGTCGAAATCGAAAAATCCACAAAGATCAAGGTGTAGATATTGAATAGTTCTTACAAAAGAATCAAGTAAAATTGAATGTCTTATCGCTTCTGTAGTCGAAATCCTTTTACCCAGGTGCTGCATTTTCGACATGGCGACTTTCGCATTTTTTTCGTGTTTTTTTTATAATAATTCAAAAACTGTTCGGCCGATTTCGAAAAAAAATCGACCACAGGCAATGGGAAGGGGAGGGAAGGGGTGCGAGTTTCATCAAAATCGAGAAAAATCGAAAAATCGAAAGAAACAGACGGTCCCCGTAAGTGTGCCTCCGTGTCTAATTGTCTGTATGTTTTTATGCATGTTTGTAGGTACAGAGTATGTGCTTTTATTTATGTTAGTGGGCAACATTATTGAATTCATTACCCAAATCCTCTCTGTTTTGATGAAGTTATAACCTGAAATTACTGTTATTAATTTCCAGATTAACCAGAACGTTTCTAGATTATCTCATATTATGTCAGTTACCTAAAAAAAAATAATAAATCACGAAGGAAATTTCGTCAGAAATAAGTTTAAAACATTATATTGATCACCTACGTATACATCACGATCGGGGTTTATATATGTTGAGAATTTGGAATATAGAAAATCACAATTTATATCATGCAGGCCCTCCAACCATATTCGGATGGGAACTTTTAGACGAAACTTTAATCTTAATCAATAAGGAATAAAGAAACATCATTAATTTGAACTGTAACACATCTTTATTATCACCGACCATGCAGCGCACAGGAATAAATATTAAACTTAAAATAACAATAACTTATCCATCTCCCAATCCCCATGTCCCCTTTTCCCCTCAGAACTGTTCAACAAGGAAGGCTGAGAAGGTAGTGTAGGCCTCGTCGTAAGGGTGCTCGTACACAGAGCCGTCCTGCAGCTCAAGGTGGACCTTCTCCCCGGCGTTGAGGACGAGCAGAGCCGAGTTGGAGCCCTGCTGATAATTCCCCTTGCTGCCGTAGGCGGTCACCTGGTACTTGCCGTCTTTCATGAGGGCCAGGCTGCAACGGCGAGCTGAGTTAGGCTGGGTTGCTTCGTATGTGAAGTATGCAAGTTTTGGGTCTGTGTGTCATTCATTGTGTTTTGAGAGTTTGAGAGAGAGCGAGAGAGAGAGAGAGCGAGAGAGCGAGAGAGAGAGCGAGAGGAGCGAGAGAGCGAGAGGGAGCGAGCGAGAGAGAGAAGAGAGCGAGAGAGAGCGAGAGGGAGCGAGAGAGAGAGCGAGAGGGAGCGAGCGCGAGAGAGAGAGGGAGCGAGAGAGAGCGAGAGGAGCGAGAGGGAGCGAGAGAGAGAGCGAGAGAGAGCGAGAGAGAGCGAGAGGAGTGAGAGAGAGCGAGAGGAGCGAGAGAGAGAGAGAGAGAGAGCGAGAGGGAGCGAGAGAGAGCGAGAGGGAGCGAGAGAGAGAGAAGGGAGGAGAGGGAAGAAGAGAAGCTGAGAGAGAGAGACCGAGAGAGCTTACAAGGCCTCAATCGATATAACAATACATAAAATAAATGGATGAAGGAAGGAAGAAATGGATGGCTGATTAAATGGATAGTTGGATGAATGGATGGGCGAGTGAGTGGAGAGAGAGAGACAGACAGTCAGACTGGGCGTGTGAATGATTAAACGGGTGAGTGAATAAGTAAGCGATTGAGTTGAGTTAAAGAGTAAGTGCGTATGTAACCTCCATAGGTCTAAATAGTTTCATCCCTATTACTACGTCATTAAACAGAGTAACAATAATTTGCATACCAAACCATTAAAATGACTATCAGTAAGTAATTGTTTTCACGATTCTATTAGAGTTCCTTCAGCAGGCGATTGCCGGCCAGGAATGACTAACAATGACTCGGTAAACGCGACTCGCATTTACCACGGGGCCGCCACACATCGGCACGCAGGTGAAACCTCTGTTGACACACTTGACTCCCCGAGGAATCCGCAAGCGATAGGTTTTGCACTAATTTAATTTCCAGGAATGTCAATGTGTTCAGGGAAGTTATTAACATAACATGTAATTTACTGTTGAAGCTGTCATGTTTACTATTGTTTGCTTAAAAAATGTAAACATGACAGTCGACGCGTGATAAATAACTCCATGCTATGCAGGACACTTACGTGAAGTCATTCTTTTCGGGCGAGACGGCGTGGAAGGTGAAGAAGTAGACCCCAGTGCACGGGGCCTCGAAGTCGCTCTCGGAGGACGACCATCCGCCCAGATTGGTCAAGACGTCCTGTGAAGATTTTCAACCGTTAGTTTCTCTTTGGTGTGTAATCTCAATTAGTGAAACATACAGAAAGAACTTGGGAAGTGAAAAAACATTAACAGCGAGATTACCTTTGGGAGTAGGTATTTATAATTCAAGTTATCCCACTTTGGTGAAAAAGTATCACAAGATGTAAGCTAGACATCGGCTGGAGTTCCACCTACCTGGAACCTGAGACGACTGGGTGGCCGAGACCCGGAAAGGACCGCCTTCCGGACGCTGAACCCACCAGAACAACTGGCCCACGCAACAAATAAAACAAATTACACTCAGCTGTATTATATTATCTACGAAATCTACAAATACAATATTCTATGAATTATATATGTTCCTAATCTCCACAATATAAAATATGCCCTTGGTATTAACAGCATATGTGCAGGTTATCTACATGTTAAATGTTTTCAACAAAAGTGTGGTTCCTCCGAGCTTACAATTTGGGCACCGGCTTTGAGGGCGCGGGCGGTGGAGCGCCGACGAGGGAGTGGGCGGCGCGGTCCCCCCGGCCGGCCACCGCAACCACCGCGGCGACCAAGACTACGAACACATTCGCCAAGCGGGTCATCTGAGGAAGGACCGGGTAGCGCGGTTAGGCATATGTGCTGGGCTTTCTCTGGAGCCATATGTAGGGTTACTTATAGCATTTTCAGAATGGAACTTCTTTTGGAAATGGCAGTCTGTCTGTTACTTATGTTCAGATATAGATATGTTATTGCCGAAACACTGTATCAGAATACCAAGTGGACACTGAACACCAACAAGCATCAATTCACTTTTCTTACCAACAAAAAAACCTTTCGTTTTAAGGGATATGCAAATGCAGACTTAAGAAATTCTGGCACATAACTGTACTCACCCCGGGTTCCAAGGTGCCGTTACCTGGGTCAGCCGTGGAGTGAGGCAGCGAGAGGCCTCGTCTGTATTTATATGAACCCACGACCAACGCCTCCCGTGACGTCACTAAGACATGGCTTCAAGGGGTCAGGGTCGTCTACAGGAGGTTAGGAGGTCACTGTATATTGGAACACATCGTTTTATTGTCATTAAGCGGTAATGCGTTTTTGTCATCCTAATTACACTTGTGGTTAGCATAAATTTGTTCAGATCTTTGTAGCAGTCGACCGGGACATCCACTGTTTAGGATGACTATTAAATTTCACAGGTACGCTTGGTTACTGGACAACGGTTCGTCCACTGTGGTGTGGATGACACCGTTCTACTTTCAGGAAACCCAATGCTTTTCAAGGCCACAGTGTCTCAGAATGATTAGTTTTACTTGTGATTTGCTATTCGGAAGTCGTAAATTGGAATGAACTGTATATAAGCGAGAATGTACAGTGTGCTCTCTGTCAATATTTTGATAATGAAAGTCATGTATACATCCAACTGGAATTCCTGAAGATCCACCTTTTAATAAGCGGCATGCGAGGTATTTGTTGATTGAATGGTGCGTGCCTTAACGTCATGTGTTATTTTCAATTATTGACTATGATTTGAAGGTTCAACGATTTTACGAGACACTCGTTGATAAGTGCGATTATATATTTGTTTTCATTATGTGGTCCACATTCGCAGCCAATTAATTTCCATTCATCTTGTGTGCTGTCAACATATACGCAGTCCCTTGTTATGCTCACTGCTCCTAATAATGCATCATATATCAATCAATACATCAATTTTATTTTCTCTCTCTCTCTCTCTACATATTCTCAAAAACATTCCTTCACTCTCCTTCACTCTCCGCCCCCTGTCCCAACCCACTGCTTTGTGTCCCTAATACCGAAGCCTGCCCTACACTAGCGTCATATTTAACCCTACTTTTCCACATGACGCCTGTTCTTTCTGGGCGCCCATTACCTCCAGCTATGTACCATATGTTCAGAAAACCCTTTCATCTTGCTGGGCGGTCGATGCCGTAGTTAATTTACTTTTGGCGAAACTATTTTTTGAAAGAGTAGGAAAAGTGACAAAAATAACGTGTTCGATTCGTATGTTTATGGGTGTTGTAAAGTTTGATGAGCTAAACTTAACGGGTCTTTTAGGCATGGATCAAAGACTGCCCATTGAACCAAGACACGAAGAGGTGTACAAAGTAAGAGAGAGGAGACTAATGAAAACGAAACATTGTTTGTTTGTTTTTTTCATCTGTTGAAGACTACGTCGATATAGCTCCGACATTTTTTCTGAGAAACCAGATAATGTAAAAGCTATAAGACATGTATAATGTAGCTTACAGATATACTTTTTCTTCAGAAAACGGTGACGGGGATGTTAACGTGAGGTGTAGACTCCTTCCTCACATATTCCCAATTCTGCATACGGCTTTCTCTTTCGCCCTCTCCCTCCCTCCCTCCCTCCTTCCCCCCCTCTCTCTATCTAGCTATCCATCTATCTATCTTTCTCTCTCTCTCTCTCTCTCTCTCTCTCTCTCTCTCTCTCTCTCTCTCTCTCTCTCTCTCTCTCTCTCTCTCTCTCTCTCTCTCTCTCTCTCGACTTTTTCTTCTGTCTCTTCTTCCTCTTTTCTTCTCTCTCTTCCTCTTTTTCTCTCTACTTCTTCTTTTTCTTCTTCTATTTCTTCTTCTTTCTCTTCCTCTCTCTTCCTCTCTCTCTCTTCTTCTCTCTTTTCTTCTATCTCCTCCTTTTTCCAATTTCTCTTTTTTCCAATTTCTCTTTTTTCCAATTTCTCTTCTTTTTACACTCTCCCCCCCTCTCTCTCTCCCTGTTCCCTTCCTCTTTCCTTTCTCTCTTTAATCTCCCCCTCTCTCTCCCCTCTCTTCTCCCTCTCACTCACCTCTCCCCCTCTCTCTTTTTTCCTCTCCTTCTCTCTCTCTCTTATCTCTCTTTCCCCTCCCTCTCCCTCTCTCTCTCTCTCTATCTCTCTCTCTTCTTCTCCTTCCCTCTCTCTCTCTTATCTCTCTCCCTTCTCTCTCGCTCTTCTACTTCTCCCTCTCCCTCTCCACCTCTCCCTCTCCTCTCTTCTCATCCTCCTCTCTATCCCTCTCCTCTCTCTTTCTCCCTTCTTCCTCTCTCTCTCTTCCCTCTCCTCTCCCACTCTCTCCCTCATCCCCCCCCGTCTCTCCCACCTCTCTTCCTTCCCTCTCCTCTCTCCACCTCTTACCTCCTCCTCACCCTCTCCTTCCCCCACCCCCCCCTCCCGTCTCTCTCTCTCTCTCTCTCTCTCTCTTTCATCCTCCCTTCTTGCCTTCTACTATCTCCTCTGCCTTTTCCTCTCTTCCTTCCTACCACTCAGTCTTCCTTTTTCTACCATTCTCCCCTTTCCCCTTCGTCTTCCTCTCCATCTCCATCTCTCTGTCCCTTTTCTCACCCCCCCCCCCTTCTTTAAGCATTTGTGATTACCGATTCTATCCGTATTTCATCCATTTCTCTTTCACTTCCCAAACTTCTGAATATCTGGACACGAACTGTATCTATGAGAGAGTAACAAACATCCAACCTTAGCCACACCCGGAAGAAGGGAGAAAAAGTGTAGGATTCCTCAACCAGCGTATGGAAGTGAGCGGTGCCCGTGGGGAGCCAGAATTTGTATTATGGTTGGGTCTCGGTTCTTCTCTATTTCCCTCTGTTTAACGGCACATAGACGTAAACGAGAGTGTAATATATCTAATAAGATAAAATTGTAATTCGCTTTCGTAATGAACACGGGAATTAATACATGTTTCGATTCTAACTTCAAAATCTACGAAAAAAACGATAGAGGTAAATTGGGAGATGCCCAAGCGCGATAAGGAGTCAGTGAAGGACCGTCTGGTGGCTTCGAGTGACAGGACGCGTATCAAGAGGATGAAAATATGGCAGGATTCCGACGTACTTGTTCGCTACACTTGATAGTTACACACATTCCAGTACAGCGGGGACGAGACTAGTTATTTTTTCTGTATAAGAATAATGTTACAGAATTTTCCCATAAAGTGATGATACTCAATAAGACATGATAACAGTTTCTTTGTTCATACTAAATAAAGATTATAAGATAGCATAGTATTGACAATAATAGCAATGTAGAATTTTGATAATCATTTGACAAACTGTGTTCATTGCGACAAATAAAAAAAATAATGCATGAGACTGGATAACTTCTCGGTGCAAGAGATGTATTTGACCGGTTCCGATTATATCTTCGTCAGAAATAAATTTCTGATGAACATATAATCAAAATGGGTCAAACATATTTTTGCACTAAGAACATATTAGTTATCTTTAATACCTTTTCTACATTCCTCTAACATTCTTAGATCCAAAATAATATTGTAATATTAATCATTTTTCTGTTTGTTATCTTTATTGTCGTTTAATATCAAATAATAGGGAGTATAAAATAGTTCCATCCAAAATGCGCATGCAATTTTACACGAACGCTGTGATGTAAACAAAACAGAAGACGAAGCGGTTCAGGCGGAGTTGTTACGTAAACTTACTTATTAATTTGTCTCTGTTTCTCTATTTGTATTTGCGATCTGCACACTCATTATACGTTTTAGGCTTTTAAGTGGCATGTGTTTTGCTTATATTTGTTCAGAATGTGTTGCCTCATGATTAATATTGAAATAATGATACACCAATGCAAGTGTCTTCAAACTGTTTCCTACTAACTTGATAAAGTAATTGTTATAGTAGTTTTCATTGATGGTGTGTCTAATAAATCAGATTATTATCAGGTATGTTTTTCAAAGAAAAAATGTACTGTAAACCTGAATATTTCGTTGATAAGGCTTGGACGTTGTGAACGCCAAAGTAGCGGTTCCGAATGGTCAAAACTTCTCGTCCAACCTGATGGAATTTGTTTTGCTCAGACAGACAATATCAGGAACAGCAAGAAGACGAGGCTGCATTCAAAACCTCCGAGGTCTTTACTGTCGACAATGCAATTTGCATAAAAATAAACAATCATTACCTTATCATACTTATGTCTATTTTTTAGGTTTGCAGCTCTTCTGATGCATAAGTAACATAATTGCAACTGACAAACACAAAAATACCCTTTTGTCAACAAAAAATTACCTTCCATTATTTTATGGTTGCAGGTGTCAGTGTTTACATACTAATGCTTTTGTGATGTCATCTTGTTTACATACAAATGCTATTGTGATATCACCCGTTCACCTGCGAAGGAGGGCGACATGGACTAGATGAACAACTTATCCTGGATGCCAAAGTAAAGGTTCTAAATGGTCAAAAAATCTCATCCAACTTGTGTAACTTCTTGGAATAGGATTTCCAAATGCAACAGGCAGTGGCAGTTCACCCCTATGCCTTCCTCTTTTTAACCTAACCAAACCTAACCAGGTGGCACATCACTTGGAATGAGTTTAGTTTACACCAGCTGACTTTTAAAGTATGCCTCTAGTCAACCTCACGCTAGGTTTGCTTTGAATGCAATATGGGAAAACTCCATGAACAGCAGAATGTGCATATACCTAGGCCTTTTGGAACATATCTCTGGAATGAAATTATTTTCCTAAAGGAGCACAAGAGGCCTATATTTTCAGTTGTTAGAATTAGAAGAAATGACTGCTGGGTGAAAATGATTGTCTTGGGGCAAAACAACTGTACTTTAGGATGAGATGGCAGCTTCTGTCTGAAGTGATGGATAAGAATGAAGTAGACCTGGTATTTTCTAAAATTAGTGTACATCTGAAAATCCATCATATGTAAATATATATATGAATGACTATAATGATGATACAAGATCTAGTAGTTGGAAAGGGGATGGGTTATCCCTAGGAAATGGCCATATTGTATTATGGGGTACTCTCTATGTTTGTCATTGTAAACCCCCCCCCCCTTTTAACACATACTATTGGTAAGATATAGCCTGAGTCTGAGTGATGCACCACATAGGTAATGTCACAACTTACCTCACTCTG